ACCACAAAAAAAAAAAAAAAAAAAAAAAAAAAAAAAAAAAAAAAGTCCTACTACACTAGACATCATTCCCTGCAAGGTTTATCTCCTCAGTCACTGTACACAGAACTCTGAGAAGTTGTAGTAACACGAAGGTGCAGATACAAAGACCAGCTTCATCTCCAATATTGTGGAAAGGGACTGTACACCACAGGGCAGAGCCCTAGGCTCCCCTATGACACTTGGACAGAGCCTGGGGATACGGACCTCCCAGGGCATCCATGTTAGAAAAGCAGTAACATTTCTGTAGAAAGATAACCTGAGAAGTTAGCTCGAGTTATCATTTACTATTTTGTCTAAAAGTCCTACATGTCAATTTGCTAACAAAAAAATTACAACAGCCAAGTTGGCAAAATTTGAGCTGGGGGAGTGTAGGTCAGTATTAGGACTTGTCCAGAACATACAAGGTCCTACATTTGAACCTAGCAGTGTAGAGAGAGAGAGAGAAAAAAGCAAAGAATCAAAAATTAAAATTAGGATATGAAACACTGGCCAAGATAAATGTATAAATTGTACATCTGTATTAGATATCACTTTAGTAGAATTCAGAGATGGATGTCTTACTAAAAGGTATGTATATACCTTGAGATGCAGTAATCCCATTCCTGAATATATTCCTCCAAAGAAACGTGTACACAGGACCATGAAGACACACAGCTGTAATCTCAACACTCAGGAGATTGAGGCAGGAGAGTTCTGTGTTCCAGGTCGGCCTGGGTAGGCTACATACTGAATTCAATACAAACAAAAAGCAAATAGCAAGGAACAGAGTTGGAAGCTCTAGGTCTTTCTTACTGAACTAAGTTATAAAACCAAAACAAAATGCATGTAGCAGATATCTGAAAATTTTGAAAAAGAAAATAAAAGCAGGTGGAAGAAGACAACCAGATTGTAAAGTACCAATAAACTGGCATTAAGTTTATCTTTCTTCTTCTGGAATCCCCTGGCTTAGATGCAAAGTAACCTGAAACACAAGAGTGAGCATCAATCAGTATAGCAAGAAAAAGCATCAAGAGGAAGCCTTCCTGGCTGGGAAAGCCAGAAAGGGGACCCCTGATGTGGACAGAGAATAGTTAAAAAAAAAAAAAAAAAAAAAAACCAGGGGTAGCAATCTTATTTGCAGACAAAGTAAATTTCAAACCAAAACTGAATCTAGTGTTATTGATGTATGACGGTACTGTATCATGCCTCTATGAATGTAAAATATCTAGCACCTGCTTTATGATACATAGTAGGGACCGTGCTTTATCAGAGCTACATTTAATGATATTACTCTAGAATGTTCTTTCCAGATGATGATTAAGAGGCTAATAGAAAAAATGGTGCCAGGTACCACAGCAGCAACAGAACTTTGCTGTTATATATATATATACACACACACACACACACACACACACACACATATATAAATTGAATTTTGGGAAACTTTAACGGTGCTGCCCAGTTTGGAAAAAGTCATCCCAATTTACTGTGTTGACTTGGCATTGTACAAAAATGGACAACCATATTGGTCTAGAAATGTTACTTTATGTTTTTTTTTCCCCTGTATACAGGGGTAACACATCGTACTAAATATGTAAGGTCATATCTACATGGGTTTGATTACAGAAACTAATAAAGTATTCTCTAAATAATGAAAAAAGAATAAGATAAGACTATAAGAGCGAGAAGCAATTTAAATATGTTCAGGGACCATTTTCATCTCCAGAATTAAGGATTATTTTGATGTTGTCATTGCCTTTTCTCCTTTACTTTCCTTTTTAGTTTTATTTTAGGATTCCCTATTTTTAATGTTCATACAGAGACTTCTTTAACTGAAATACCCAATAGTTTCTTTGGTGTGAAAAACTATAATAGAACACAGGATCCTAATGAGACAATTAATAATGTGAAATAGGAAGTAAAGGGTTAAAGGTGTAAGGAAAGTGGGAAGGGTCGGGGAGAGGTAATAAGGGAGAGGAAAAAAATATGAGAATCTGAAAAAAATGGAAATAAAGTGTTTGTAAATGGGGAGGGGAGGAGAGGGTGAAGGGAGGGCAGGGACAAGGGGAAAAATGAGAATCAAGACCTATTATGTAAAGGTACAGAATCCCAATGATGAATGTAATTGTATTGTATACCTAGATTGTACCAATAACCTCAAAAAAAAAAGAACAAAAAAAACCCAAAAAACAAAGCTTCATTAGACAAGGCTCAAATTTGCAATCCTCTTGCTTAAGTCTGCACGAGTATTGGGATTATAGGCATGTACCACCACGCCAGGAGATTTTTTAATCTTTTTTTAAAAACTGAAAGAATCCACGCAGGCGTGGCCTGTAGTCCCAGCACTCTCCAGGCCTGCCCCAGCTACATAGTGAGTTCAAGGCCAACCTGAAATACAGAGCAAAACCCTGCTCAAAAAAACAAAAACAAACAAATACTAAAAAATAATAATGAAGAGCTCATAACAAAAGCCACATGTAAAAGTGCATACCTGCAGTCTCAACTACTTGAGAGGTTGAGATCATAGCCTATCAGTTCAAGGCCAGCCTGGGCAACAGAGCAAGACACTGCCTCTTAAAAAAAAAAAGGCCAGGGATCTAGCTCAGTGGCTTCAGTGCCTGCCTCACAAGCACAAGGTCCCAAATTCGACCCTGGTACCAAAAAAATAAATAAATAAATAAAATTAAAAAAACTAAAAGAAACAAATAGAAACCTTACAATTTAAAATACAATAACCAAAGTCAGAAACACTGTATGAGATACTTAGCAGAACAGAAAATGTCAGACAAAAGAGTCAGTGTGTTTGAAGGCAGATCAAAAGAAAGTAGTTGAAGTGAAAAACAAGGAAAAAAATACTGAAAACAAATGAACATAGCCTTAGAGATCTGTGAAACAACAGCAAAGAATCAACGGTTGTCATGTCATCAAGACCCAGAGGATATGACAATGATGGTATTATTATAGACAGCTAGGACAAATAGGAGTTAATGTGCAGTCAGAAAGGAATCAGGCCACTGGGTAAGTCAATACTACTGGTGTAAAATGAGACACACCAAGATCGCGGCTGGGGGCAAATCTGAAGAGAGCCAGACCTCAAGATGGGAGACAACAGCCAGGCCTGCAACCTCCCTAAAGATAAACAGCAGTTTGAGATTAGACTGTATCAGCACCACCTGGTCTAGTGGGCCCAGGCAGGAATCAGACACACAGGTGAGAGACCGGGCCATCCAGACAGATTCTCCCATTCCTCTCCAGGAATGCCTTTGTTCTTTCTACACACCCCTACTTCATGACTTGTTTCCTTATTGGATCAATATAAGCCAAACAACTATATAATCATGTAGGTTGACTGTAGTTTGACCCCCATTGTACCCACTTTGTGATTCTGTTGTATAAATTACCTTTGTCAAAGAGCCTCAGCGGTCACCCACTCAGAACTCCTCCAAGGAGCTCTTCCTCTTCTTATTTCCAATAAAACTCTTAAACTTCCTCCTTTGGTTTGCTAATTCATTCTTTGATGTTATGAAACCATGAAATGAGCACATCTAACAGGTGAGAATTATTTCCCCCATTAACAGTTAAGTACCAAACAAAAAAACAAAACTTGGAAAAGCTACTGACTGAAAATTCCCCAAATTCAGTAAAATATAAATCCACAAACTCAAAAAGCACACAAATGATAAACACACCCCTCTCCCTCTCCCCCTCCTCCTCTCCCTAGTCTGGCGCTGGGGATGAAACCCACAGTCATATACATGTCAGGAAAGCACTCTGCTACATCCCTAGCTCCTGTATCTCATATTAAATGAGAGCTTTAAACAGACAGACACACAAACACACAAACACACACACACACACACACAAAGAAATTCAAGCCCAGGCTTACCATAATCAAACTGCTGAAAAGCAGAGAAGTAAGATTTTTAAGATACTGGATGGTTGGCATGGTGATGCACCCCAGTGATCACATCACTCTGGGAGGCTAAGGCAAGAGGATACAAAGTTCAAGCCCACCATGGTAACTTAGTGACTTACCAGGTAAATTATTTTTAAAAGGACTTAGGATGAAGCTCAGTGCAAAACCCCTGGGTCCAATTCCCAGTAATGACCCCCCTACCCTCAAAGAAGAGGCTTGTCACAATACCATAGGCCTATAATTCTATCAACTCAGAGGCTGAGGCAGAAGGATTCCAAGTTCTAGGCCAGCCTGGGCTGGGATGTGGCTCAGGTTTCTATTGTCAAAAACATAAATATTCCCAGCTCCAAAGGGTAGCACACATCCCTCTCTCTTTTCTTTTTTGGCAGTGCTGGGGAATGAACCTAGGGCAAGTACACATCCATCTCTTGAGAATCACACTCTAGTAGTTTAAGTGCTTACTTTTAAATTATTATCCCTTTATGTTTCTAAAAAAGAAAAAAGGTATGCACCATGCAAATGCCAGTCAAAAGAAAGTTGGAGGGGCTATATTAATATGGGGGAAAATCAGTGATACCACAGTATATAACTATGATAAAAGGGTGAATTTACCAAGAAAATATAACAATTATAATTGTGAATACACCTCGTAATAATTTCAAAATACATGAAGCAAAAAAATACACAAATCTAACTGTGGTCAGATATCAACACACCTACCTTCCTTAAGAACTGATCAGTCGCTAGTCACCGAAAAGATCAGTAAGGATGTAGAAGAACTACACACACCTACTAAATCCATCTCACTGATATTTACAGATAGGATACTCCATTCAACATCAAAGTGAACAAGCAACACCAATGAAAACGTAGATAATTGGAAGCTAACAAACTATACAAAACTGAAATCATACCAAGAATGGTTTTCCTCACAGAATTCAGCAGTCTAAGACAAAACAATTGTGAGTTTGAGTCTAATCTGAGCTACATGGCAAGTTCAAAGCTCACTACACAGTGAGATCTTGTCTTTTAAAACAAACAAACAAAACAAACTAAAAACATACCCCAGCTGGGTACGTAGTTCAGTTATAGTAAGGCCCATGGCCTATGGTTGTAATCACAGCACTTGGGAGGCCAAGGCAGGAAGACCACTACAAGTTCGAGGCCAGCTTGCACTATATAGTGAAATTCTGTCTCAAAAAAAAAAAAGATAAAACAAAAGTAAGGCAGGCAAGCTAAACCAGCACAGCAAGTGGTCATGCCCTGTCAATAATGGAGATCCAGAAAATGCACAGAAAAAGTTCCCAAAAGAAAGGTACCTTCAATTCTTGGGAGAACACAAGCAGGTTTTTGACATCAAGGCCTAATGTCAGCTTGAAGAATGGGAGATACAAGATAGCCACCTTAACCTTCTGGCCACTGTGCTCTCTCAATGACAGTAGTCTGCTGGAAGTGTAACTGCACCTCTTTTCCTACTTTTAAATGACCCACACTCACTCTGCAGAGCATTTTTCCTATTTCTAATAAATGTAAAGCCCCACTATCTTTTGCACTTGTTTTGTCCAACTTCGTTCAGGACAAAAAGAACCTAGACTCTTTAGGAGTCCCCAGCACCACAAAACCCCATTATCAGTAGAGCACTTTGCTAGCATGTCAAGGCCTTGGGTCTGATCCCCTGCAATGCAAAAAAAAAAAAGGTTTTAAAACCATAATGGAATTATTATTATGAAGGATTATTATTGTTTTTTGGTTTTGGTTTTGGTTGTTCTGAAACAGGTTCTCACCATGTAGTCAGGCTGGCCTTGAACTATGTATCCAGTGCTGGTGTTAC